CAGTTTAGGTGATATAATGGAGTCAAAGGCAGGGTCAAAATCCTTAATCTGAGAGCTAAGTCTATAACGACGCCCATTGGACTACGCCATTGATCTACACTTCTTACCTGCGACTACGACGCGTACCAGTCGATTACTGCTACCGTATTCTACTTGATTATAGTATCCAAAACCACTTAGCTACTTCGTTTAAATATATCCCTTACCGGGACATATCATTATTATTATACGCATATTAAATATATTATACATACTTTAAAATACAATTATTTGTGCCGGAATATGCTTTATTTAATGTGACTTGTTTCTTTTGTATAATAAGGGTTTTGAGTGTTTTGTGTCTTTCCTTGCAGTGAGTGCAATTTAATATTTTGGTATGATCTAATATTTCTCTCATGTTAATAGCAGTCTGTTGGTTGCTTGTGATGTTTGGAATAATATGTAAACGAATTGCACAAATTTTCTGCAAGTGACGCTTTAACCTACGAGGGAGTGTAGTGCTTGTGTGTCCAATTTATGAATTTAATATTGATTATTGATTATTGATATTGCGGATGCAACCTCCTAAAGAAGACGAGAATTTATGAACAACATTGTTTTTAACAAAAGAAGATTTTTGAGGTTCTGCGTGATTGGTGATAATGAAAACATGTTTTAATCTTTTCATAGTAAATGAGAAATTTAATCCATTTACTGGAATCAAGTTATGTACTGGCGAAGTATACTTTTCATGTTTTTTTCATCTTATTGGGTGCATCTGGTTATGATAGAATAAGTTCATGATGAGTTTTTTTTTATTTATATAAGGATGATTACTTATGTTATTTTTTAAAAATTTCCCTTGTATAATTTAAAATTTATAATTTTTTTATATGCACACATATGGATTCTTCAAGGCTTTTTTTAAGCGAAGCCATCTTAAGGGCATAGCAGTAAGTTATTTGTGATTGTCAGTGCTCATAATAAAAACACTTCACCTATAAATATATCACTTACTTGCATCTCCCTGACATGTCACCTGTTTGCAAATACCTCTTCCACCATACTGAACTTATTGCAACACGTGTCACTGTCTAAATCTCAGGCACATACAGCGCAATGTTATGACGGTTATTTCCTCACAAGATGGCTAAAGACTTTGAGAAGTCATCTGAATATCTTCTAGCCATTAGCATGCAGATACTGTATCTAAAAACATTGACATTGCATATGCGTCTGTGCAATTCTTGCGTGCATATCGAAGCTGAATTCCAATAGTTTTGGGTTTAAGACAATTTATTCTTAAGGAAATGACAGGAAAAGTATACGTTTGCTTATTTTATTTTCATAAAAATAGATTTATTTTTCGATAAAAAATGTTTCCACAGACCCTTCTTACAGCGATTTGTACTGAAAGGATCTTCTATTTGACCTCTATGACACACAAGACTCCAATCTTTGACCCTTGCAAACAAAGGGCAGTGCGCATGTGAAACAGTTTCCACTTTGATCATAGAATACCAGACGCATGATCTATTCTAGACTAAAAAATTCAATAACATCACGAATTTTATTTTCGTCTGTCACCATTAATTTTTAATTACACATCGGAAGCAATCAAAACGATATGATATTGTGTAAACAATGTCATTTATAATCAGTATATTATAACAAGGCAATGAAATAAAACATTTATTTGAAATCACTGTAAAAAGGGCTCCAATTCACACCCATTTCAAGCATTCGTCGTAGATAATCAAATAACTATTTGTAATTCAATCCACCCACCTGATGTGCAGTATCCAGAATTTCCATCATAATCGGATCCCGTCAATATTCCTGCTATTTGTGTAGACTTTTTCTGTGAATGAAAGAAAAACAAAATTTTTATCATAGAAGACAGTTTTTCATTCTGCCGAGTAATACCTACTTCTTTTGAATGTAAATCATTTGAAATGCAACCTCAATGAGGAAATAAATCGTAAAAGACTATTGGAACTAAAAGGTGAGTGTAGTCGTAACAAAAGTAACTTCTTCTTTTAACTAAAGAATTTCGCTGTTCCAAAAATCAGACAAAAATAAACAGACGATAAACAAAAAAAGGAGAAAAGAACTCAGATGGAATTGTTGAAACTTGGAGAAACGAAAACGGGAATTTAGACTAAAGTAGTTGGAATGAGAATGAAAACGAAGGGGCTAAAATCAGGACAAAAAGAATGAAGTCGGAATCAGGATAAAGCCCTTTTATCTTCTTGTGATTTATGTTTCAGAAGCAATAGCAAATTTGAAAGGAAGGCCATAATCAGAAATTGTTGAATTTTGAACACTGGAACAGCTTCTACCTCTGGAAATCTTTGATCCCATGTTAAATATCTAGAATGAGGATTGCTCTTTGTATGTAACGGTCAAACATTGAATTGCTGAGTGTCATTGGAGGGGAGATCAACAAAATGATTTTTGTGAAATGACATTTGTTACTTTTCCGAAAAACAAACTAAAACTAAAATGAAAGTATTCTTTTCTTGTCATGTCATTAATGGTTGTAAGAAGATAGAACGTATAATCGTCAACAAAAGCAACAATCCAAGATGCAAATAAGATTATTTATATATCTAGGAAGTTCTTTTTTAATATAGGACGGAAATATGACACCAAAATTCGAAGGTTAATTAGAATAACGAAAGAATTTTCTAAAAGCTAAGTAAAGTATTAAGAAACAGGGGAAAATACTGAACTGTTATGTAATATCGTTCCTCTTATATAACAGTAAATGATGGACAATCTCTCAACAAGACTTGAGGCAACAGAAAGGCGTTTCTGCAGAAGGAAGCTGAGATTTTTGTAGACTGTACACATAAGTAATGAGTATATTTTATAAAAAAATGGAAGCACAAAAGACACTTATGTTTAGAATTACAATAGAGACAATTGAAATTCCTAGGACACTTAATAAGGAAAGAGGGCTTGGAGAATTTGACACGCGAGTTTGTATCAATGGATGGTAAAAAGGGGATGAGGAGAAAAAGCAAAAAGTCAAACGGGCGTAAGAGCTACAAAGGACAAATTGTTGAAAGGCATGATTATCCAATTCCTTAAATGAGACAATTCACAAAAGAAGAAGACTGATTTTAGTTCAATTTAGTAATGCTCTCTTTTATTCTATATTTTGATAATGAAATAATTAAAAGGCTGTATAATATAACATTTCTGTCTATCAATATGATTTCAACGAAGAACAATATAAGAAAAACATATTTGACTTTTATTGGTGCCATGTCTCATAACAACAAGAGATACACAGAGACACCATCTTGATGACCGCCACATACAAAAAGCGTAGAACTCTAGAGACAATGTAATAAAGGACAACAGGAAGAAAGGAGTAACTATCAGTTGTAAGAAGGCGGACTGTAAGTGGGACAGATAAAGATGCGCTCTCTGAAGTAGAGATGTCGAAATCAACCAAGTCGACTATTTTAATCTGGCAGCTGACGACAAAAAATTTGACACAGAAATCCGAAGAGGTATTGAAATAGCGAAAGTTGCCTCCCTAAACTAAGCAAAATAAGAAACATGAAAAATGTAATAAAAACTAAGTAATGAGTTCTGAACTACAGTGTCATATTAATCTTCGTATCAGGCAGTAATGGCTGGACAATTTCTGCACATATAAAGGGGAGAATTAAGGAAAAAGAAATGTGGCTGTACAGAAAGATGCTGAGAATATAATGTATGGAACATGTATGGAACGTGGAAGTTTTAAAAAAATTGGAAACAAAAAGGACACTTATAATTTAAATCAGGAAGAAACATTTGAAACTTCTGGGATACATAATGAAGAAAGAATGCTTGGAAAATGTGGCACTCACAGGATATATTGAAGTCAAAAGTGGTTGAAGGAAACAGTGAGTAATCTATTTAACAAGTTTGTGTATTAGGGCTTAGAAAGGATATTAAAAGGAAAATCATTGATAAGAACTACAAAGGATAGGAAGTTGTAGAGAGCCATGATCGTACATGTTCCTACATGTCACAATAAAGAAGAATATCTATTATTGTGTTACCTTTTTTGCTTCATATTATTTTCAGTAATGATGCTTCACTCAATAATTTTGTGATTTATTTAAATCGTTTTATTTTACTTCTCATAACTTAAAATAACAAGACTCACTTTAAGGCCATATTTTCCTTTAATTCAACTTCCTGAAGAAGTTAACTTCCGTTTTATGATAGAATCACCAGGATTTATATTTGTCAGAAAATCCTCCCTTTGAATATTTTATCATCTGATAGAAAATCTAAATCATTAATGAAATTCATTGAAAACATTTTTCTGCATCATTTTTATATATATTAAAAAGGTCATTGATCTTTTTCGTTTTTCGTCTGCTTCTGTAATCAATAATGAAGCGAATTTTTTAGAAAGAAGTGAATCAGAGATTATTAAATGTTGACCCATAATGTATAAATAAATGAAATAAGAAACATTGATTAAAAATGAAAGCGTTAAAAAAGAAACAAATGAAAAGGACGGAGAAAGAATTACAAAAAATGGTGACAGAAAAGGAGGGAGAAATAAAAATGAAAAACAAATGAAAAGCTAATATTTAATAAACAAAAAACAACTTTTTCAGAAACATTTCCGCCGCTATTGATTTGAATTTCAAGCGGTGACATTATCACCAGAAAGCAGGCGATTTCCGAACGACTTGTGAGCATGAAGAAATTGCGTGGAATAGGTTCGTCTAAGAAAGAATGCAAAACAATCAGATACCCAAGTGCTCCATATTGATTAGTATTAACGCAAATAAGAGGTCATCAGTTTTAATCTAGTACTTTGATAAATAGAGACGTGAGTTGTAGAATTTTTAGTTCAGTTAGGGATGAAGTATTATTATTTTTTTAACGGTCAAATCTGTGAAAAAAGAGGCCTAAAATATTATTTTCAAATTCCGAAGAGAAAAAAGGGAAAAATAATAAAGAAAGAAATAATTCGAAGAAAAATTGTTAAGTTTAGACGATTAATTGGAAGGAAGGATTAGTTTGTCAAAAATATAAAATGGCGGGAACAAGAAGAGAATTAAATATGAGTTGAAGTTGAAAAAAGATAAGGGGAAGAGTATGAATAACATGAAAATATTTATATAAAGGGAGGTGAAGCCATTTCTAGACTTGATAAAATGGGGAGGAAAAACTGATAAGATAATGATGGCACAAACATGGAGGAAGGAAAATGATGAAAAAAAGTGAGATGAGAAAAATACCGCAAGAAGTACAAAAGAAACAATGAAATAAAATGGAAAGACAAAAAATACAAAAGGAATAAAAACAGAAAGAAATAAAGTAAAAAATAAATTGAACAAAGAAAAATGTTGAACATAAAGAAAGAAGAAATTAAGGTAACGTAAGAAAATAGAAAGGAAAAAGAAAAGAAAAAAATACGAAAAAGAAAAGACTGATAGAAAAAAAATAAAAAGTTGAAAGAAAAAAGAAAAGGAAGAAAACACAGAAGTGAATAAATGAAATAAAGAAAGAAATAATGAAAGAGAAAATACAAAAAGGAAGAACTGATATAAAAGAAAAATAATAGAATGTATGAAAGAAAAAAATTAGAAAGAAAAGGAAAATTCAAAACAAAATAAGAAATACAACCAGAGGGGAAAAAAGTTAAAAAAGAAACAAAAAAAACAAACAAAAAAAAACAAAACAAAAAACAAAACAAAACAAAAAAAAAATAAACCAACAAAAAAAAAAAAACAAAACAAAATCCCCAAAAAACCCTAAAAAACAAACAAAGAAAACAAAAATGAAAAGGCGGAAATAAAAAAAACCCAAAACAAAACAAAACAAAAAAAAACAATTGAAAAATAAGAAAAAACCTGTCTATATTTCTGGGATGAGGTATTATGAGCATTATTTATATTATTCGGACTATTGTCCTCATCTTTGTCGTCATATTTATTACAACGTTTCGGCCGTTGTACGCTCCGGCCTTCTTCAGGTAGTTGGAATGTCGAACTGAACCCTTTATTTTGCTCACTGGGGTAGGTGCCATGTTTAATGGATGTCAATTATCAGTTATCTCCGTTTAATTTCCCTCCAAGTTCTCCACTGCCTTAACCGGGTAATTAACTCACACTCTTTGGGTCCTGTCACTGGATCTAACCAGCGCCTTTATCCACTGTGCCATGTGTCCTCGAGGCGACAAAAATGAGGATAATAGTCCGAATAATGTAAATAGTGTAAATAAATAAATGAATAAATAATAATAATAATAATAATAATAATAATAATAATAATAATAATAATAAACGCAGAAAGGATGAAAATAAAGACAGAAAGGAAAAGTGATATAAACAGCAGAGATGAGAAAAAAGAAAAGTTGAACAGAAAATAAGAAAAATCAAAGAAAGATAAAGAAAGAAAAAAAGAAGTAAAAGAAAAAAAATAGAGAAAAAATGGAAAAGTCAAAAAGGTAGAAAAGACAGAAAACAAGAGCAAAAATCTATCTGTCTGTCTATATAATATTAAAATTCTGTGATTGTGTGCATGTTTGTGTGGTGCATCCATCCGGCGCATAATGATTTAAGTTAATCTGATTTAAGTGAATAAGATTAAAAAAATACAGTATTTTTAATTTAACTTTCTTCAAACAAATTTTTAATTGAACTATTTTAAAGTTAAAGACAGACACAAAGAGATCCCGCTTTGCTGTTTCTTCCAGTTGTTTGGAGAGCGATTTTTATATTTCAGATTTCTTTAAACAAACAATATTTTAAATATATATGTAAAAAAAAAAGGCATATTTAGAAAATTAAAATTAAAAGTTTATCCCGAAAGTTCTATTCCTATTAAATGCTTCAAACAATCAGTAAAACGTTAAAGAAGACGAATGATGACACAAACAAATTGAAATATTTAACTGAATCATAATAAAATTAACTTTCATTTCAATGGAATGTTGAAATCAACTTCAATATTTTATAACCTGAACCAACAGATCTAGTACAATACTGAAATTCTAGTCTTGTCTGTATGCATGCATGTATGTTCTCGAGATACAGCTTAAACTTAGAGAAGGAACTCTTGAGCTAACGTCCTTCTGTTTTTACAGCATTTTGAAGAGCAAATTCAGTATTTCTTTTTGATAGAGATTCTTATATGAATCCGTGCCTATAAACACAAACACTTGCATATTATTCTATATTCCAACTATTCCAAGTGTGTGAAAAATAATAAACATTTACAATATTTTATAAGTATATTATTTGAAAATTAAAATCCACAGAAAGGATGAAAAGAAAAAAGAAAGTAAGAAAGGAAAAGTGATATAAAAAGCAGAAATGAAAGAAAGAAAATTTGAAAAGAAGAAATATCAAAGAAAAGTAAAAAATGTAATTCTCATTATTACATATATTTTACTATTAATTACTTTCTTCATCTTTAATTGATTTTAGTCAATCTCTTTTTGGACTCATGAATCAAACTGGAGGACTCCACACACTCACGTAAGTAACCACGGCCATGTGTGTATGTGTGCATGTGTGCGATATTATTTCAGAACGTGGGTATCTGTTCAGGCAGGTCAAAGAGGAGATGGGCTCCTATTTGTTCTGAGAAATGCCATAAATGCCACGGTAGACATCTAATAAGTCTTGGATATTTAAACAATCACTATTTCAAAATTCATTTAATTTTTCAAAAGTATGCTACGAATATCCTTAAAATTGATTTTCAATTATTAAATTAAATCTTGGAAAACAAACTCAGATATTATTTGGCATGTGAACAAATTTCAAGCGTTTTTATTTAAAAAAAAATTCCTACTTATTCGTTTCGAGTTTTTTTTTTTTTTTTTTTGTTTTAATCGGAATCACCCCAAGCAAGGCAGTAACGCCACTAAAGCACAAGGGGTTACAGGATGTAGAGGTATTAGGAACAGAAATATTAATGATAAGCAGAAAGAGAAGAGAGTAATCAAGAAGACAGTAGATAGCGATTGACATTGCTTTTAAATTTTTTCAGATTAATGTTGGCTGGAAGGGAATTCCACAAGCGAGAAGTACGAAAAACGAAACAAATTTACGGTTATACCTAGCCAGCTCGATTGCAAATTGATGAGATCTCGACGCCTGTCTAGTTCTGCAATTAAATTAAAAACAAACTCTAGATACCATAGCGAAGAGCAATATTTATTTCGTAATAATGCAAAAATATAGTAGAACCCTGAAATGGGGAATAGGGGAAAGTATGACCTTTTGTCTTATAATTAGACCTAACTAGCTACAATTACTGACCCAAACATACCACAGTATTCCTTTCACCAAAACAACACATTCTTAATTAGCATTTTTACTACATTCACCATAATACCTCAGAATCTCCATGAAGTCCTAAGTAGTTCCATCTGTACAATTCTTGTCTTTGGAAGTGGGGAGGGGGGGATAAGACAACAACAGCGTAGCGCTCATCCGAACAATTATCAAGAAAGTATTTATAGAAAAGACATAGGCAACTTTACGGCGATGGGAAAGTGACTGGAGCTGAGCCGCCAGATCAGAACCAATAATATTGCAGATTCTTCTTTGGAGCTTATCAAGGAGCTCAAGGAAAATAGCAGGGGCACCGGACCAAATGCGGTAGCAATATTCTAAGTTAAGAAAAGAGTCGATAAAAATATTTGCACATATCGAATAATGATAAAAAGAAAAACTTGAAAAAAAGTGCCTCAAAATATACATGTTCTTGGACTGTCAACAACACGCAATCTCATGGGTTAATCAATAGTTTAGATTTTGGAACAAAAGGACATATTTTAAGAAAATTGTAACAAAAAATACATCTACTACTACATCTGAAATTTCTGGAACGCATAATGAAGAAAGAGGGCTTGGAGAAAGTGACACTTGGGCCAAATATTAGTAATAACTACAAGGGATAGGAAGCTGTGGTGAGCCATGACTGACAACGTTTTGAAGAGAGACTGTACATAAAAGAAGAGTAATATGTTCACATAGGAAATACAATTCAGAATAGCTAAAATGTGACTCTATCACTACCTATTGGTGATACATACTATATATATATATATATATATATATATATATATATATATATATATATATATATATTTTGAACAATAAGAAAATAAAAAATTATAAAATTAAAATCTTTAGACACACTGGGTTGTAGATTAATATTCTTTCGTTTTTTTTATTATTATTCCATTTAGATTCCTCGACTAGTTTCGACCGAAATGGCCATCATCGGGAGGAGAAATATTTCTGCTTGCTGGTAGCACTAAACTACAGAAATGAATGTCTTTTGCTGGAGAAAATGAACTTTTTTCTGTAGTTTTCATTTGTTTTTTTATTTTTTTATCTTTTTAACATGAATCTTTTAACAATCCTTGTGTTGGTCAAACAGTCTCTTTTAAGTTGTTATTTGAGATAAGAGCTGGATAGATACATATTATTCTGAATTCTCTGGTCAGTTTGACAGTTTTATTGGACCTGGTGAGGGGATGTATCTCTGTCTAGTGTTTGTGTGTGTGTTATTTGGTTCTTAGGGAGTGAGTGAGTATGATATGTGTAAGCGTGTGTATTGCTGTAGGTGTGTGTTATCATTTGGCTCATTAGGGAGTGAGTGAGTATGATGTGTGTATATTCGTGTGAGTGAGTGTATAAGTGTGAGGCCTATATATATATATATATATATATATATATATTTTGTTGTATAGATGTGAGTTTGTGACCTTGTTTCACGCTTTAGCGATCGTCAGACAAGTAATATGACAAGGCCGTTTGTCTGATGATCGCTAAAGCGTGAAACCCAGGGTCACAAACTCACATCTATCCAACCAAATATGTTAGCTCTATTTCTGATAGAGCTAACACACACACACACACACACACACACACACACACACACACACACACACACACACACACACACAAAGCAATTCACCTCAAGCAAGGCGGCAGTGCCACTAGTACGCAAAGGGGCTACATAGAGTGTAAGGCAAAAGACTGGATATAGGTGGAGGTTGAGGAGAGGGTAAAAAGAAAAACGGGGATCAAGGCAACAGAAGATGTCGATTGACATTACATTTAAATTTTTGAAGATTATGGGTATCAGGGAAACAAGTAAGAGGAAGGAAGTCCAATTGTAGGGAAGTGCGAAAGATATATATATGTGAAAAGGCAAATTGAAATAGCGAAAGAAAAATTGAACAACCTTAACAGCAACAAACCGGACATTTATGATCAAATACAGGATATAACTACCCCGGACCAACTGGAGGAAATTACACATAGACTCAGGGAAATTACCAATAAATCTGAAGCTCAACACCGATTTAAAATTATAAAAAAACTGAATACATTATACAAAGGTAATATCACTCTTCCTAAAATGTCTATAATTGGTAACAGAAGCCATTGGTTTATACCAACGGCTTTCCATATTTCATACTTCTACAATTCACTCTCGTGTGGTCATGTGTGACGTCATGAGATGCGGTGCGATTTTCGCTTCTAGCGTCTTATATCCGTGTGTTTATCGTTGC